CTGCCCCGATCCGTTTTCACTTATGTATTTATTACGCGGCGCCATTGTGTCCGACGCCGACCTGACGTATGCAAATGCCCATTGTTCGGCGGACGCCGCATTCAGCTCTGTTTGATGTGGTCTGTCAAAACGGCGTCCACTCCTCCGGACGCTAATTCATGCGGACGCCCTCGACGCCTCGCTTCCGAAGCTGAATGCGAAACCCAACTGCTTTTTGTGTTTGCTAAAAACGCGAAAATCCACTCGGTGCCTCGTCGGATGCTGGCTTTGGTTCTGATCGTTCTAAAAAATGTACGGTTTCGTATATATTATTTGATCATAATGTGAGTTTAATTTATTAAAACTTTACAAGGTTATCTAAAAAATAAAATTTTACTGATCACAGACATTATAACTTGCTTTTCACTAATGACAAATGATTGAATGTAAAGCCTGAACATCACACTAGAACTTAATTTTAATTATTGCGAACATACAAAATATCAAAATAGCGGCTGTATTATAAATATTAATTCATTTTTTTTTAAATAAATGGCATTTATTTAGTAACGCAGTTACTAATTTTTATATGAGTCGGTTTGAATTGAATGAAATTGAAAAAAAAATTGTTCTTAAATATAAAAATTATGTTAAAAATCGTATTTTATTGTAATTTTAATATGATTAAAAAAAAATTAAAATTTTATGTTTTGTCAATTTCAATCCATTTTCTCTCATGATATGATTTCACTTGTAAAATTGTTTTTGAACATGTCAAATTTTGCCATCTGGACGATTCTCGGGGCGCCAAATTTAATTAGTCGGCAACTTTTTGCAGCTTGACGGCTGCAATCAAAGTTTAATCGGGTTCGCTGCTGCTCGTAAATAATGGAATTACGCGATTTCAGTCGGATTGCGCGAGCGCTCCTTGCGCGCGAGATAAATTATTAATTGGAAATTGGATTAAGTCCGGGGCGCTCGCATCGACCGGACATAATTCTTCCCTCTTTTCTTTCTTTCGTTCGCAGCCGGCGGCGGCAGAAGGCGAACGGATATCTGCATTTCAAAGGAGCCTCTTGAAATTCCGGCCGTCCGGTCGAGCAGCGCGAAACACCAGCCTCTCGATTCTCTTAGGTTATTGGAATTTGGGCCGCGCCAGCAAGATGGCTAATAAATAAATCTTGCCGGATCAGCGTGCCTCCTTTTCCTTTATTTATATGCCTGCAGTTTTCCCCAAACGGAGAGCGGCTCCGACAAATGAGTGGTTTCGCAACAAACAGTGCATTGAACGGGAATGAACCATTATTTCATCAGTATAAATCAACTTTAATTTAATCTTGCTATCTGGATATGATTTTATTTTTTATTTTTCAAAAAATAATTACTATTGTATTTAACTCTATTACAATTTTCCTTCTATCAGCAAATTTTTTGACTCTTGAGGAATTCAATGACCAAAAAGGTGCAGAATATTTTTGGTTGAATTTAGAAGAGAAAATTAAATTTTATAATATACGTATTTCCATTTTTTTTTGTAACTTGTTAGCTGATTTGCTGAAAAATTTAAAAAAAGTTCAGCTATTGCCCATTGTTGTATAAATTTATGACGTGTAAGAAAAAATTTGGCATTTTATTTCCTCAATAAAATCGAAAATAAAAAACAAAGATTGCATGATTTTATCAATTGAATCTAAAATTTTGTTATAAACCTCTAGAATTGAATTGCTGTCAATTTTTTTTAATGGGATATATGTACAAGCTTTAATAATCATTTCTAAATTAACCACCGGTAGAAAATAAAGAATAGAAATTTTCAACATTTTATCAGAATTTGGCAGCAATTAAATAATCATGAAACCCGTCCTTAAAGTAAATTTAGCCAGTTTTCAACAATATTTTAATTTTTTTATTTGATTTTTTTTTACATAAATGATGATCTCAAAAACTTTATAATTTATATTTAAAAAAATTTGAATTATTAAAAGAAAATATCCATTTTATTAATAATTCCATTCCAAGACCGCTTATTTTTAAGCCATATCCTTCAAAGGCTAACACTTATACCCTATTTTGTGTGTGTAGAAAAGTGCTTGAAAGTTGCCCCGTGGCCAGCGGAGTTGGAAAAGTTTTGCCCGGAGTGGTGATGGCGTGCGGCAAATTTATCAAGCTTCGGAGAAAACACCGAATTTTTTCCCATGCCGGGGATATATATTTATTAGTGTTTGTCATCCGTTGGTGGGCGGGTCGGTCGTCTGGGCGGCGAGTGTTGCCAAAATGCAGCGCACGTGATTCATGGCCGCGTGCAATAATTTCGACTTTTGCGGCGGGCGCGGCGTTTGTTGGTCGGGGTATTGATCCGGCTGGTTCGGCGCTTCGCCGCCGAGAGAGAGGCACCCTCGAGACCCCGGCATGTGTTGCACCCCCGATGCAAATGAGGCCGGCACGCGAAAATCAGCCCGGGAAAGAACTAGTTGAAAACTGAAAATTACAATTTCGTGCGCAAACAAGCAGCCCGAATTAAAAACAAATATTCCAATGGAAATATTATGCGTTCCTGCTAAAACGCGGCCGCTAATGAAATTTAATTCGAGCCAGCCAGGGTAAATACGCGGAGCACGCACGACTGCTGTTTTAATTAGAAGAAATGGTGGCGAGACCTCCGGGAAAAAATAACAAAAAATAAATCCACGGAGGTGCAACTAATTGTAAGTACACACAGTTAACAGAAATTAGAATCAACTCGCGGCTCAAATATGGAGTAAATTAAAAATTAATTTTTAATTATTAAAATCATTAAAATATTTTGTATATTTATTTAACAATTTAAAATTCCGCGTTCAGAACTGATTTTATTACGTTAAGATTGGGGTGTTGGATTTATGCTTCCTATATTTATTGAAGTTTTTAGACAACAGTCAAAATAAAATATTTATTTATTATAGACTTTGTAACATTTTTGCATATAAAAATTGCTTCATTGATAATCAGTAAATCTAATCAAAAAGAAAGAAAAAAAATTGTATTTCTTAAGGAGAAGGAAAGACCAACTTGATGTGGAAGATGCAATTCCGTTGGTTATTAAAACAGGATTGTGAGCATTTATTGACAAGCAACAATTGAATTTATTCGAATAAATGATTTTAAAATGAAAATAAATTTATCCCAATTGCTGAAGAAGATTGAAAAGTTTTATAAAAATCCAGGTTTTTTAATCTTTCTAGGCTCCAAAGTTTGAATTTTAGTTTTGGAAATGAAAAATATTTTCTAGATGACTTTCATTTCCAAAAATGAAAAAGATGCCGTAAAACGACAACAACTTTATCTGTTCCATCAATTTAACAACATATTTCACAATTAACTTTCTTAAATGCCCTGATACCATTAGAAACAATTAATTTAAATTTAATTCCTATTCATTCCCATCGTTTTCCTTGAACGTTTCCAGTAAATAATTAGAGCTTTTAAGTGTAAGAAGCATAAAAAGATTCTTGAAAATTTATCCTGCATGTGCTCCACTTTCACACGTTCCGAGAAGAACACGCCGTTGGCACCGAACGTCGTCTGGCTGCACCTTTTGCAGTAGAATTAGATTAGTCATTTGGCCGCAGCGAAAGGCGCTTTGCCGGCGTCATTATCTCTCTCTCGCAACCGATTTGCATAACTCGCATGGAATTGCGGAAGTCACGAGGAGGGTTGAGCGGCGCGATAATTCATGAGAATAAAAGTGTGCAGTGTATTTGCATGTTATCACCCGACGGGACGAATTTCCTCTGGCACACCCACACAGGTACAAATGTACACAAACTCGGCCGTTTTACAACTTCCGAGTAAGCGGCGGGCGTGTTTGCACAGCACAAGTTGCTGCTGCTGCGTCATTAAGCGCCCCGCGATTGCTAATTACACGCACGTACTACCCCATCGATTTGCCCGTTTGTTGCTATTGAAAACACTTGGAGTGCTGCTAAATTAAGATTTAGTGCATTAATGTAAATGGATTCCAACATTAACTATGGCAACATAGACCATGGCAAAATTGCTGCTTCGCTTTTAAGACAATTTTATAGATAACAATTAAATAAAAAAAATCTCTTGTTCTCTCTTTCTACTAAGTTTTTCAGAAATCATAAAATAATAATGACGATTAAAAAACAAAATTATTGAAATACCATTGTGAAATTTAATGAATAAAGAAAATCATTACAATTATTCAAGAGGTGATTACAATTATCTATAGTATTATTTAATACATTCAATTATCAGTGTTCGGTGGCTCGTGTTTATATATTTTTTCTTCAAACTAATTATATTTTCAGCAATCAATTAAATCATTATTGATCCAGATTTTTTTACATAGTATACAATATAAGTTAAAATTATAGGAAATTTTAGAAAATAAATTAAAAACCACCAAAAATTTAATGTTATTTAAGTATTTAAAACTTCTAAAATAATTAATTTTGTAATAAAATTATAACTTTATAAAATTAAGCGATGAAATAAAAGGTAAATTTCACAAAAATTAAAACTGGGCCTAATTTCATTGTATCGTGAGGAAAAATAAATTAAAGACACTTAGAATTTATTCAATTTTTCAGCGAAACCCATTTAAAATTATCTTCAAAATTAATCAATTCTAGATGAATTCTAATAATTCCTCTATCAAGCGAAATTCCAATCTTCATTCAAGAATGAGACCGTAGCGTAATTGAACAAAGTTCAATTTACATTCCTTCATTATCTGGGTGGCAGCCAAGGTATTCTGCGTCTATCTCTGTTCGTTCAGATCGAAACCATTCCGGCAGCAATTCAGCCGGAATCAATTTGCCATTACGCAAATAGAGATTACTGACTGGGGGGTTGCATATATATAGTACCTGTCTTTAATGGGATTAAATGAGTGGAAACTGCGCGCGCGGAAGAAGGAAGATGGGGTCGCGGAGCAATAAATTGTAATTTGCCGATAATTCGTCGGTCGGATTATACGAAAGGCGCGAAAATTCTAAAAAAGAAAATATTCTTACTTGTCCTCGAGGATGTATTTGTCGCCGTCGCTCTCGACGCACACGCCCTTGGACTCGATGAAGGAGTTGTTGACGTGCAGGAGGTTCACCATGCCCGAGTGGAACCAGTTGCCACTCCAGACCTCCGGGAAGCGGCAGTTGGCTGAAACAGAAATTATTTTGTTAAGCTCTGCTTTTAGTGAAATGAGAAAATCTATCAGTGTAAAAATCGAACGAAGGAGTATTTTTTCCTTTCCTCCGTTTGGGGTTGAATGGAGAAGAGGGGAAAAATGCATTTTGGAGAGGATAAGTGCAAGGTTTAAGGAGCTTTTGATGAGTGATGTTAAAGGGGATGAGATCGTTCGCCAAAGTTTTCTGTATTATCGATTCAACGTAAGCACACGCGGGAACCGCAGCTTTTAGTTAGTTACCTCGCTCCCTCTCAGGCCGAATCTTTGCTCTGCCGACCTTTGCTGCAACTTAAATTACTTCAAAAGGCTCTTTGAACTTGTTAAATTGCCAGAGTTTTCTTTCAAATCCGAAAGGCTTTTAAGCGCAGATATAAATTTGGAGAAAGTTAAAAAATTTTAAGGAAAGCAAATCTTTCATTAAAATGATTAAAATAAAGAAAAGGAATTTGAATAAAATTGTGTTATTTTCATGTCACGACATCTAACTGTCTTCACCACATCAGCCGAATGTTTAGAAATTTCACCACATCATGTTGAGGAAAATTTTATTTCACGTTTTGCAGTGAAAAAAATTTTTCTCGGTGGCCTGTGGCCCTCCTGGCCCTTGGTGGCCCCCAGAAAGTCCGGGCCACACAGGTACTAAATCCGTCACTGCGAACGTATGTAACCGGCCCGACATTTTGTTGCCTAAATCAAATTAATGTGGTAAAATTTGTTGATTAATGTGTGGATTTTCTTTGATTGAACAATGGTAAATATTTTTCTGCAAAATATAAATGGCGAGGCACTTTGAAGCAAAATATTAACAATTAAAATGGGAATTTTTGAACAAATATGAATTGAAATTAATATTTTTACTAATCATTCTACATCTCAAATCGCGTTTGTTCCGGAAATCTCAAGAGTTTAAGAAATTTACGTTCATAAAAAAATATTAAAACCTTCAGAAAAGTTCCCCGTAGAGGTAGCAATAAGTCAACGACCTTGTGCAAAGAAGAGAAAAATCGTGCGCAAATTGTCTCGCAAGACGACGGAGCAAAAAAGGGGTGATTGCGGTGGTGCGGAGGCGCGAAATGAGTGAATCATATTTGTCTCCGCCGGCTGCTCTCATTTCGGATGCAAATTGCCGGCGTCGCGGCGGCAAAGTGGGTCAGGCAAGGACGCCCGCCCAACCGCCCCAGCCACCCACCAATTTCCATTTTTCCATTATCATTGTTCGCAGACTCAGGTGGCGTTCGTTCCGATAGCCGTGCAATTATCCGTCCCTTATATTCTTTCGGTTGCCACGGCGACGAACCAACGAGAAATTGTTCTTGAAATTCGCGGCGTCAGCGGCAGCAGCAGGCCAAGGTAGATTTCCTCGGGGACGTCGTCCGATCCGAGAAGCGTGTGTGTCTCATTAAATGAAAAGCCGACCGGTCTGGTCGGTCGGCGAAAATGAAACGGACGCCGGAATTTGCATCGGATCTGTGTAAATATAGGCGGCAGACTGTAAATAAGTCGAGAAGGAAAGAAAGAAAGGAGGACGAATCGCCAAATAATGCGCGCGGCTCATGAATAAAACAACGAGACTCGTTCGTTCTTTACTCCTTCGGTCCCGGCGGTAAAAAGTGACCAGAGAAGAGAAAAGTACATACACGGCTCGAAACAAGCAGCTTTCAAGGCCGGTGGAACAACTTAAGAATAACGAGCGAGACGTTCGTATTCTATACTTTGAAAAAAAAACGGATTTTCGCTTTTGTATAGAAATCATAAGTAATGTGCTTAAATATCACGTAAAATAAAAAACAATAAGATACGAAAATAATTACACATTAATTTTATTCACTTTTCATTTTTTATATGCCGGTTTTTTACATCTCTCTAATCATCTTGTGAGTAAATTTTTATTATTATTTATGGTTATTTGTTTGAATTGTAGCAAAAAAAAATTTAATTGAAAATAGAAGACAATTGTTGTTGGGGTGTGGGACTTTGAATTGTTTCAAGAATAAGGCAAATATTTTGCTAAATTTCCGAGATCAAAGATTCTCATCAGCGTCTATATTGTTTTTTGAAAATTTGAAAGTTATTTGCCATAAAATTTTACAAACCATGTCGTTATCATACAAACGGTAACAAGATTGTTCCTTTATTTTTATTTTGCAAATACAGCTTTTCAGGAGAGGAATAAATTTTTCATAAATTTTACGCTGACAATTTAAAAATCCAAAAAAAATCCCCAAATGAAATATAATTTCAACGAGATTTTTTTGCGCATGATCTTTAAATTTGCACAGGTTTAATCTTTTTTAGTCCGTTTCCAAAAATATGGCATTTTTTTGTCGAATGTTGTTTTTGTCCATTTTTTTTTGCTTAAAGTATTTCATGCTTTCAATTTTATGAATTTGAATGTATTTGAACAGTGGTAAAGTGAATCAACTACATAATATTTGGAAATCTGATTATTTCTTTAATCGTCAAAACATATTGACCCTTTTGAGTAATTTAGCAAAGATCAATTATTAAATTAATTAAAATAAAAGATCTTTGACTGAAATGAGCCGTCACGACTCATCTGCACTAGACTCGATTTTTATCTCGGGATAAAATATTCACATTGAATCAAGTTTCTCATTTCATTTCAAAACACATTCTTCACATTACGCGGAAAATATATTATTTCAGTCCAACTCTTGGTTGGCAGCTCTTGTCGCCTTTCACGAATAACAAGCGCACGAACAAAGCCGCAAAGTTCACGGTTTTTTCTTTGCTCTTGTTGCGAAATGCTGAGAGCAGAGGAAGAGAAGGTGCGGTTCGTGCGCGCAACAAAAGAGACTTTGAGGGAATTCAACACGAATTTCTAATCTGCGTCCGTCCGAATTTCGCCGGCGGCCCGGATTCAAAGCGACCGCAGAATCCATGTTCATTTTTGGGCGAGTTTGAAACACAATCCGGCAGATACCGCAACAAGAGCTCATGCGACTGCCATTATATGGCAAGCAGGCAAGGGTTCCGCAGGTGCGGGGGATCGATAGCGAGCGCCGCATTGGAATGCCGCCTTTAATTATGGCAGACACCCTTTGTGAATTAGCGGGCGCATCTCGGGTTCGGCGCGCGCTTGGAATGCAGCGGCGTTCCCAGTGCACCGGAATAATCGGATGAAATGAGCGATAATCGATTGCAAGATTCAGTGACGAAATGAGATTTCCCAATGCGTGCAAACTATGCGCGAAAGGAGCAGTTGGTGGTTTTCATTAACAACAACAAGAAGGCACAAATTGCAGATCATGTACTAGAGTTTCATCTGTACTTAGCTGCAGCAGCCATATTGGACAAAAAACGTATCAATTAACTAAATTTAAAAGCAAAACCAAGTTTATGTAAGAATGTGGCTAAAGCAGCTGTTGAAAAAAAATGATCGGCTCAAAAATTATCATGATTTTTTTATGTCAACAAAACTTTTTAGAATTAGAGACTAGCACCCCCCCCCCCCATAAAATAATTAAAATAATCTAGAGATTGGTTTTAAACTCATTTAATTAAATTTCAAAATAATTTTTCTTCCATTTTGGCCTAATTTCAGTATTAAAGTTTTTAAATTTGTATACATTTCAAATTCTTAACAACAGTTTTAATTTTAAAATTCTTTCATTAAACCATTTCTATTTTTTTCCACGTGTAAAATAGCACAAAGTTAAAAAAAAAATGAAATGAAAAGATATTCCATGAATTTGTATATAACAGCAAAAAATTAAGATTTGACAGTTTCTTGAATTAAAATATGGGCGTCTTCTGAAGTTATTCTTTATTTAACTTTCCAGCGGTTGCACGTAAACCAGCTAAACGAAGTTTTATGTTCTGGAGCGGAAAAATAAACGAATCGCGTGCCGCCGCCGCCTCCGCAACCGCGCTGTTTGTACATTATTTAATTAAGACGCGTGCTGGTGATAAAAATTAGCCGCGGCAAGTTTCGCCCGGATTAATTAAACAAATCAGCCGACCACGTAATTATTTCGCTTTTCCGTCTTGATTATGAGCAGAGAGACTTGAGCCGCGTCGACAGCGCGGAAAACATTCGAGCCAGAAACGGACGGACCGATCTTTATCTTTAATGGATAAAGTTTTCAACCGGCAACTGCTGGCTTTTTCCTACCAACTTTTTTCATATCAACTTTCACTCTCCCTTTGCTCTTTTTCTTCTGCTTGTAATTATCCTGGTCTGGTTAATTCCAAATGGCCAGGTTTGCAAACCATTACAGACGATCTCGGAAATTTTTTGATGTATTTTTAAATCAGAATGTAAATTTTTGAACAAATTAAGTTTAAATTTGATGCTTGGTTCAAACATTCTTAAATAAATTGATTTAATTTAAATGTCTGAGTGTTCAATACCAAAATTAATATTAATACAAATGTCCAAAGTTTGATTTGGTCATTTCAAAGTTTGGACGTAAATCATGGAACGTAACGAGGCTGTTTTTTCTTCTTCTCTTTTGGCTAAACGGCCGCCAATTTATCTCTGCGAGACAAAAAGCGAGCGTTCCATTCAATCGACGTTGGCGGATGATTGCGATTGCGGCCGCATTACGCACGGCGATTGCGTCAATTTTTTATTTCGTCGGGCCGAAACTTTTATACTCCGTAATGGAATACCATAAACTTTTCATCCCCTGCGGTCGTAAAAAGAGCCGCCGCACGCACGCCCAAAAGAGCTGCTGATCCCTTTCCGCTCTCTTTCTTTCATTCTCGATACAAAAGTTTTTCGCTCCAAATCCGTCCGAATCCCCGAACAAAGACCGATCGTAATAACGGCAATTATTATTATTGTTCGCTCACTCCACTCATTTTCCGACACACCTTTCACGCGCGCCCCATCGATATTTAATTGTTGTAGCGCAGCCAACCAACTTGCTGAATGGAAATCAGAAGGAGACGCAAAGGCAGATTAAATCAGTTTGCTGCCTCTGATCGTAAAAAACGGTTTTAAAGCTGAAAAAAGAAAAAGAACATTTATTCACTTGAAAAATGTGATATTTTTATGAATTTGAACACAATTTCGGATCTTTTTACAAATAAATTGCAATTGAAATAAAAATGAATTTGTATTTACAGAATTTTAAATGAAAAGTATTTTATTGATATTGCTTTTTTTTATATAAAAATAGCGTAAAATTATAAATTGTAAATTTTGATAATTCCATCTATTACTTTATAGTTTTTTTTTTGTATTTTATTATATTTTACTTTTAAATCGAAATTATATTTTCACGATCTCTTTCTTCTTCATTGTTACAATTATTTGCCTTGTCTCAAATAAAATATTGAAAAAAAATATTCCTTATTAAAAAAGTATATAAAGCTTTGGCTTTTCTTGTAACTGAAACGCTGAAGTTTGTTTGTTTGTTCAGAGGAGACATCATTTGTTGTATTTATGATATCATAAATTATTACTTGAATTAAATACGTGCAATAAATATCAATGATGCTGCTTGACATTAGGCATTTATTTATATTTGTTTTCGTCGCTGTCTCAATTTTCAAGAAGCGAAGCAAATATTTATCGCTTTCCTAATAAGGACTGTGTTTTTCTCCTTCTTGTCTCAAGACGGAGCGGCAATTTGCGCGGATTAAAATTAGCGCAGCGGGCGAGCAAGTGGGCGAAACAATGGCGCAAAAAAGAGGCACTCGAGGCTGTGTTTTGTTCACTGCTCGTTTTCTCGAGAGAGCTTTGGCTCTTTTTGCAGCACAGCGCCTTATTACGCCGAGTGCGCCTTGTTTGATTTATGAGAGTGGCGATGTTCAACGGAATTCAGGGAAACAATCCGATCGCCTCTTCAAACGTGCGGCAAAACATCATGCAAATGGCACTTCGGGGAAAACGCGGAGGCGCAACAAAAAAGCGCAACATTAATGGAATGGAACGTAAATTGGACTTTTGCGCTAAAAAAAACTCGTCATTATAACTTTGTTTGCTAGGCGAGTAGACCAATTTATTTGGGGTTGGGAAAAAATATCAGCAAACAAGCACATCAAAAAATACCCAAACATTTGCATTTGATACAAATTGATTGCTTTCCTAGAATAAGCTCATCCCTGGAATTATTTGGAAATAATGATAATTGAATTTTTCCCCAGAGGTTTTTTGAAGAGTACTTGTTAAAAAATTAAATGATATGAAAATATTGAAAATTTGGACGGAAACATTTGTCTTAAAACGTTTCCAAAATTTATTACCATATATTTTTGTTCAAAATTGAGAGTAATTTCTTTAATAGTTTTATAAAAAAATATACAATGGAATTGTTCAAGATTGGAAAAATAAAATGGAAAAATGGACAAACGAAGACAATTTTCTTGATTCATTAATGCAATTTATGTTTTAAACATTAATTATCATTAATTGTTCAATTTCGCAAGAATAAAATCATATTTCTTTTAAACTGAATCAGAAAAGAGAATAAACTGATGCAGGTGTTTGTTTTTTTGGTAGTAAAATTAAATCCCCCGATACAAATAGAAACCTGAATAGACACTCAATTTTCATAGTGTGTCGGAATTTAAGAGGGAAAAATTGTCCAGCCATTTTAGCATCCCATCACGTTTAAAAAGAATGATAAGATTTTTAAATGAATATAGTGGGCAGTTTACAAATTTAAACCACAACAAGCAAAATAAATTAAAAAATTATTTTATCTCTTTTTCTATATATCCTGGAATAAGCAGTCGAGATTCTTTTTGCTCCTCTTTTGACAGGAGGTTCTTCACATCATGCATTCGAAAACACGCTTGTTTGTTCAAACGTGCATGTTTATCGAGCAAAATGAGATCCCTCGCGATTAAACGCGGGGCGGACGGCTTTTGACTCGGGATTTTTGTATTCCATACACGCTCCTGTTTTTTTTTTTTCAATTCAGAGAGAGAGAAAAGTCAACGATTGAAATAAACCCGCTCGCATTCACATTGGGCGTAAATCAGCGGCAGAAATGAAAAATTAGAGGCGAAATAAAGTTTTGCTCTCTTTTCTCTCTCTCCGACAGACGAGAAAGGCAAATTTTAATATCGGCCCTTTTCATCTTTTTGATGCGCCAACAATGGCGCTTCCCATTCATTTCCTGCAGCGTTCGACAACGGAAGCTTTTGGAAATGTATATTCACGGGCAAAAAATAAAACTGAAAGAGGAAATGCAAAAACGTGGCGGAAAGTTTCGTTGCTTTTTTTAGGAGTTGCGAGATCAACAGCAGTTTGTTTCCGCCCAAGTTTGCGGCACAAACCAATCAATCAGTTTCTCCACTTTCGTTTTCTTTAGTGGCAACACTTGCGGTCGACGATTTTCCGCCAGCAAAGTTTTTCCAGCAGTTAGGAAAACGTGGGCGCTGGCAATTAAAAGTTTGTAATGTGTCAGTGCGCCCGATGTTTGTTGCCGCCCACCGCAAAAGAGGCCGCGCGGCGAATCTATCAACGTCTTTCACAGCTCCTAATTATTTTATTGCCACGTTTACGAGTTTCACATGGACTTGTGGTAACAAAATTTGATAGGCTGATCAGAGATTTTGTCAAAACTTTTAAGTGAAGAGTTGAGGAAATTTCATTCTGAAAATGCAGAGAAAGATAAATTTTGAATTACTTTTTTAAAAGAAATTTTAGAGTTATCAGCTTAATTTTGCAAAAAATAAATAAGAAATAAAATGAAAAATTATCAAATTTTTTATTTATTTCTATTTTTTTCTTGTATTTCGTCGAAAAAAAAATTCAACTTGATTTGTTTTTTTTTCTTCTAAAAAATGACCTATGCTTTCAGTGTTTGTCTTATAGGTATAAATTTTGTCTTATAGGCATAAATTTAAATAATTTTCTACTATTAAAATTATTTAACGCAAATAACCGTCAGGTAGGCCAATAATATTTTTCAGTAACAAAATATCTTTACACTTTCAGTTAAAAATTTGATGTGGAGAATGTATTAAGTATTTTCAAATTTATATTGATATTTTTTCATGTCCATTCTATTTTCATTTGTATTGATGTATATTACTATATTCCAGCGACTTTTAGTTCACAAATTTCGTATCTCTCTCTTCCTCATGCGGCGTGTCTTGAAAAAAATTAAAATTTTAACCATTTTCACAAAAGAAATCTCATGGTGGATTAACAATTATTATTAATTTATAACTGTTGAAACTGTGATCAAAATAACATTTATAATAAATTCTACTTACGTTACAGAAAACTTTTCTCATAATCTCAAAACAAATAACACACTTTTATTTTATATACAAAACCATATAATGAATAAAATTTAGTGTTATATTAGTTTAAGAATATAAATCCAATAATCTTATTGTAAAGAGGTAAAAATTAAAATTGTTAAAATATTTTAATTTTAATTTGTAAATATTAGTTGGTTTATGTTTGCAAGCTCTTTTGGCAGTGTGTTAAAAATAATGCCTAATCTTCGTGGAGGTTCTACTTCTCGCCATCCGTCAATTAGTTGATACTCGCGAGGCGCGAGAAAGAAACCTAGATTCACAAGTCACCAAATTTAGAAACACTAACATAGAAATCTTCGCGCGAAATATCCATCGATTTCGCAACTTGCCAAATAAAAAGTGTCTCTGCATTCAATCTAGCGTTGACTGGTGAGGAAAGAAGAAGTGTCACTTGACGTAATGCATCCGGCGAAAAATTAGCCACGAATTAGCGGCCGGCGCACTTGACAACAAAAACATCATCTGATGAGCTTAATTAGCGCGCTCTCGCATGTCAGTATTAATGAACTTATTTTCATAAACAAGACACTGGCAGCCTACAAAAGAAAGTGCGTGCTTTGGCCCGTTTGCAGACCAAATCGTCCGGCCGACCGGCAGCCATGTACCTGCCGCCGCTGGAAAACCTTAAGGTCGAAAGACCTGCCCTGACCCAGCAGCATTTCGACGCCAACTACAAATACGAGAAGAAGGAGAAGGATGGTGAGTGTCAAAAGCAATTTTTTAATAATTTCCATTTATAAGAAAAATTAAAACATAAATTACACACTTTTTTTTTAAATGAATTGCAAATTCTGTCTAAAAATGCTAAAAAACATCAATTATTTTTCTTTTGTGGTCCAATTAAAAAAAAAAATTATTCCCAAAATCTTAAATCACATTTTTTTTGTTTATGTTTTACTGCAATTGATTTTTTTTTCGTTGCATTGCTGATAATTATATAAAATTTCGTAAAAATTTATTGGAATAAGTTATGGATGAAATTTATTAATAAAATATAATGAATACTAAAAAAATCTCAACATTTTTGATTGTAAAATAAAAAAGACTTCAATTAATTGGCTAATGAGCTGTAAAGTTTAATCACGCACCCTCAAAAGACTAAACAAACTTTCAAGTGGAAATAAAACAATTGACAAAAAGTCCAAAATTTAATGAAGTCCCTTTGAAACGCAAAAACGTGAAAATTCGGGTGCGCAAAGGAGACGTGCGCTCGAAAAGAGCATTTGGGGCGCGAAACGGCTAGGGGTGCAACCTTTGCCGTCAGCAGTTTATTGTTGAGCTCGAGTGGTGTTGAAAACTATTCATCGCAAATTGCTTCCCTCTTGACGCGCGCAGCCCTCAAAAGTTTCAAGGAGCGCAACCTGGACGGCTTCAAACTGTCAAAATGGGCCAAGCAGACACTACCCGTGCTCGACTGGGTGCCCAAGTACGACTGGAGGGTAGACGGGCCGTGCGACTTGATCGCCGGCATCACCGTCGGCATCATGCACATTCCACAGGGTGAGTGACACGCATCAAAATTACATTTATTTTACACCTAATTTAGTATTTTTTATATATTCCAATTTCTGCTTTACTCAAATTACTTTGCAATATTAAAATACGTATCAAATTTCAACATATTTAAAAGTTGAATACAGAAAGAGTAGACCTATTTTTATTATCATTTACATTTAATATCTTGATATTTTTGTAAATCTGGTTTATTTGTTGATCTTTAATAATTTAATAACAAAATATTTTAAAAATGATAAAAATGTAACTAATTGTTAAAATAAAGAATAACACAAATTTTTTGCCTTTGTTTTATATTTAGTGAATTTTTATTTAAAGGTCTTGGTTATGCACTTCTGGCCAACGTACCACCGGTGGTGGGCATCTACATGGCCTTTTTTCCAATGATCCCCTACTTTTTCCTTGGCACATCTCGTCACAATTCAATGGGTAAAAAAAGCAAAACATTGAAGAATTTCAGACCGATATTTTTTGTATTTGATTAATTAGGTACTTTTGCCGTGATATGTCTTTTGGTTGGTAAATCAGTCTCCACCTACGCACTGAATCCCCTGTATACACATGAGGTCACCAAAGAGGTCAATGGCACTCTTATAACGTTAACAGAAATGTATACGGAACTCGAGATAGGAACTGCAACCACGTTTTACTGCGCAATGTGGCAGGTAAATATTGTACAAAATAATAATTAAAAGATGAACACACTATTGCTAAGTATATCGTTATTATTTTATTGGAAATTGAAAATGAAGTAATCTAATCAGTTTCAAAAGAAATAGCAGATGATCAATTGATAACAATGGTACTACATTATTTGCGACAATTTTCATCCCTCCAAACCCTCTTCAAAAACAAATGTAATGAAGCCAGTAAAGTAAACACAATTTAATAATGCTAAATGTAATCACAAACCACTTTAATTTCACTGAATAAAACATGCTCTAAACTTTATTTGCAGACTCAAACAATGTAATCTAAAATTGCTTAACAAAAAAAATTTTAAATATGAAAATTAAGTGACTTTCATTAAAAATAGAGCAATAAAAATTGCACCTTTGTAGCTTATTCAATTTAATTCAATAAATTACTCTCATTAATGGCGTATTAACCTCCTCTCGAGTCTTAAGTGCCCCTTTCCACGTCGTCTTTAACCTTTATGCTCCTTTCATCTCTCTGTCGGTGCACTTTTTTGCATCCAATTAAGTCTCCTTTCGCGAGAGTTCTCAAAGAAAGACTCGCGTAATAATTTTGCCGCAGCTGCTGTTGTACTCCCTGCGTCTCGGCGTCGTGTGCACGTTTCTGTCAGACGCGTTGGTGAGCAGCTTCATCACCGGCGCCGGCGTCCACATTTTCACGTCGCAAATCAAAGAGATCGTTGGAATCAAAGTCGCCAAGTTCAAAGGACCCTTCTACATGCTCTACGTGAGTACCTATAGCTTCTTCGACTAAACGAGAAACCGAATTTTGTTCGCCGCAGATCTACAAAGACATGCTGGAGAAGATTTGGGACTCGACTCCAGAGACGCGAACCACCATGTACGTGGCGCTCATTATCTCGGCAATCTCCATCGCGCTCCTCGTCACCACAGCTTTCGTCATCAGGGTGAGTAGAATTTTGATGTTCCTCCTTATCACCCAGAGAAATGTTCAACCCTTCTGTACCTATTGCTGCCTGTGGTCTTTGGCAAGGACCTAAAAATTACATCAAGAGAAAGACTTGATTTTTTTTTAAGTTTGATAATTTAAGTAAAAATTATAACTAAAAATTACTTGGGATTAATTATATCTTGATTGGCAGTTACATGGTCTGGGAACCTTTATAACTCAACAGGCCGCCATTGATTTTCTTGTCATTTTTTAAAATTTTAATAAGTTAATGGCGCCTTGAAAATTAGATTTAATTAAATCAAATATTTGTAACAACGTAATTTAGCAAATTAAAAAAAAAAAGAAATTTGAAAATCAATCATCTTTTATGTTCAGCTTTTTCATTACTGAACTTAAATTTCCACAAAATATATAAGAATTTTTTTCTCCTCTCATTTTAACTCCCGGTGGAAATTGCCGCGATGCAATTTTCCATTTTATGTACATTTGCGAATTATTGCAGCCGTGGCTGGAGAAATACACCAAGGTGCCGTTCCCGGCCGAGTTGATCCTGGTGGTGGCCGGCGTGTACGCCTCGGTGAACCTGCAACTGCCCGACAACTACGGCATCAGGGACATCGGCGAAATCCCCACTGGGTACATAAGCGAGCGAGACTCGAGCTGAGGTTGTTAAACCTTTGCCCCGATTGTTGCAGATTGCCCGGTCCGCAAGTTCCGCACGTCGGACTCTTCAGCGTTCTGATCGTGGACAGTTTCGTGACGGCCATCGTCGCCTACGCCGTCTCCATGTCAATGGCCCTCATTCTGGCCGAGGGCGAGGACTATGTCGTTGATCCCAACCAGGAACTTTTGGCTTTGGTAAAATTCTAATTTAATATTCCCGTCCCTAATTGATATTTATTATAATTTTAAACAATGCATCTGCCCAAAAAAAAATATGTTTCATCGAACAGATTAATTTTATTTGCGACTTTTTTTTATTTAATTCAAAGATAAAAAATTACTTATGTAAGTTAATTTTCTTTAAAAAAAATATATGGCAGTGAATTTTAATTTTGAATTTTAATTTTATATCATAAAAAAAATTTAGGCATTCAGAAGAAAGAAATTAAATTTCAAATTTTCCTCTTGAATCATAGCCAAAAATCACTCTTAAATCAATATCATTTTTTTCCCCATTTGATTGATTTCTTTTAAATTATTCTAGGGCGTTGGAAACTTAGTCAACTCTTTCTTTTCCTGTGTGACGTTCGGAGCTTCCTTGAGCAGAAGTATGGTGCTCAGAGGCGTGGGTGGCAAAACCCAATTCACCGGTTTAATAGCCAGTGGCCTAATCGTCATCATCCTCTTGTGGATTGCCGACTACTTTGAACCCCTGCCTAGAGTAATTATTTCTTTAAAAAATCTAATCTCCTTTTTGAATGAAAAATTTTAGGCGATTTTGGCGTCCATCATCATAGTCGCCCTGCGGAAAATTCTGATCCAGGTGTTTGATCTGCCCGTTTTCTGGCGCCGATCGCGTCTCGACGGCGTGGTGTGGATTATTGTTTTCCTCATTGTGGTCATCGTGGACGTGGACGTCGGCCTCGGCGTAGGCTTTCTGCTGTCAGTCGGCGCTGTTTTCATGCAGGGGCTGAAGGCGTACACAAGTCTGCTGGGCCACGTGCCCAATACTGATCTCTATCTCGACACTGACAGATACAAAGTGGTGAGTTTCCTGCAAGGCCCATCTATATTTACGATTTATAATTCTTAAATTCAAGTTTAAATGAAATTTTAAGAACAAAATCAGAATCACGATGGAAAAATTCGCACTCTAGAGTGTTGACATAGGAATGTTCAGACATTTTATCCACAAATTTACTTCTAAAAATACTTTGTGCAGACACTTTATAATATTTTAGAATTATTTTGACTTAATAGAAAAATTCAATTTATAAATTTTTTTACAAAATAAAATAACTACATGAAGTTTCTTGGATCTTTAAATTAATTTAGTTATAGCCAAAATGATCATACTTGAGTTCAATTTATGCTGAAAATAACAATCTTGATACTTTTGAGAATCTAAAAGTTATCAAAAAATTGCTTAATTTAATAAAAGAAATAATTGCTTAAATTATACAGAATTTTTGGATAAAATTTTAAAAGATATCATTTAATTATCTATTTAAAAAAATTTATAAGTTTATTAACAATTTATTGTTATGAATCTAATCTAAACAGAGTTTCCTTTCGTTCTTTTTCTCTTGTATATTGCTGCACGTTTAAATCTTTCCCTACCATTTTTCTCTCGGAACTGTAAATGGAATGAAAATTTCCATTCATAGTCAAGATGGTATGGAGCGACCTGTAAACAAACAGCCCTTCTCCGGCAAAACGTACGACGGTGCAGAAAAAAGTCCCATTTCCCGAAAGCATCTCTTCTCCGTATGAAAAATTCATTCGGTTTTTTCTCGGGCGAGGAAAAAAACAAGATTGCGGTGCACGTGCCGGTCTAATTTATCGATGTGTATGTTTGCAGGCGCGAGAGGTGCCGGGAATCAAAATCGTGCACTACAGGGGCGGTTTGAATTTCGCCACCAGGGACAGCTTCAAAGACGAGGTGATCAGATTGACAGCGATCGACCCGAAAAGGGAGGCGCGCCGCCGTGACAAGATTGCCAAAAACAAGAGCAAGATGCAGGTGAGAGAATAAAAAAAATCAGATTGATATATAGACCCGCTGGTGTCTCTCAATATTTGCTTTTCACGGGGCGAGTGCATGTATGCGGGCCACAGGTTTTCCTTGTTTTATATTTTCATTGAACCCGTCGGTGTTGAGTTGAGCAAATAATTGCTGAACAAGTGCGATAATTGGTCGCGTCAAGTGTTCGAGCAAATATTTATCAGCACACGCGGATCATCACTTCTCTGATTGTGTGATGCAAACCAAACATTCAAATTGTTTACCAACTTTCCTGCTCAATTTCGCAACAACAAACTTTTTCTTTTAATTAGGTTGCGCTTGGATTAGTTAAAAAGGTCTGATAAGTTTTTTTTTATTTAATTCACTAATAAGCAAAATTGTAAAGTTATCTATATAAAAAATCATATTAATTTGACGCAGAAACGAAAAAAAAATTTATAACTATTTTGTACTTGAGTGCAAAATTAAAGCGATCTCAATTATTGTCAGTTAGGTATTTATTTTGGTACCTTTGCTCATTGGTAATTAAATTTATTGAAAGTTTACAAAAAAAAAATATAGATATATACATGAAAATTAAATTAATTTGTCAAGCATTTAAAACTTGATTTGTGAAAAATAAAATTAATTTAAATGATAATTAATAATTATGTATTTTTTAAATCAAAATCAACTTAAAATCAATCCCAAAATAGTGTTTTGGACCAATATAGCTCCGACTTGTTTGAAGACATCTGGAGATAAATAAAATGAATTGAATAAATTCTTACGGAAACAATAACAGACCTTTTCACCACTCTTATAGAGTTATGTTGTAGTTTGGAACGCTACTCGTGTATTTTTGTCCTTTCTCTAATTTGGTTGACGCAGGAGTTTGGCGTCACCAACTTTGGCTTCATGGGCGACAACTTGGGCAGATCAGAGGCGCCGCCCGCCGAGCCCAAGATCTTGTGCATCATCCTCGACTTATCCGCGCTGAGCAGCATTGATCCTGCAGGCTCGGACAAGATCAAGTCGTTGGCGCACGACTACAAGCAGGTCGACATCACCGTCTGCATCGCTGGCGGATCAGGTGCGAAAATCCCTTTGAAGCTTCAATACAAGTCCCGAGAACGGCAACAACCAAAGTCAACACGTTAAAACAACTTTCAAAGTTAAACATACGAGTAGCCTTAGGCGTTTGAAAAACAAACCAAAGATACCCAAACCAAAACTTTTATTTGTATTATGATCTGGTACTTATGACAAAAATTATATACGAATGACATTAATGTGGTTTTTTTTATGATATATTATTTTTTTAAATTAGTAATAATTTCATTAAAATTAACGTTATTAAGAAAATTTGATTTTAATAATAGAAATGATAATATTAATCCTTTCTTAATCGTTTGAATTTCAAATATTTTTACATCTTACTTTGCTCAATAATGATTTATAATTGCTAAAATCCCCTAATTATTGAATTGAGTTGAAGATAAGTTGAATGATTTGAATGAATCATCTACAATTTTTGTTTCCTCTTCTAGTTCGTATGAACTTTTCAATGTCATTATTTTGAATTTAAAAATATATAAAATAGGTCAATGTGTAAATTTTCAAAGAGTTATTGTGTTCTATATATATAATTAAAAAAATTCACTAGTTAATTTTTGAAAACGCCATCAGCTATACCAATTCTTAATTTAAATATTATTCTTTTCATCATCCTTGTTTCTAAATTTCCAGTTTGCTTTAAATTTCAGCCCAAGCCCTGGAGAAAATGAAGAAGTGCGAGTTATTCGAGGGGGAAGATGCCGTTCCCGCGTTTCCCACGGTGCACGACGCCGTGGTCTTTTGCAGACGCGCCATCATGGAGACGGAGCGGCTGTAAACGTCGCAATCATTTTTATCAAAATCCCATCGTTTGTATCAAACCGACTGCTGAAAACACGGATGTAATAAATAATGCACCCTTCCTTTGGTAAAAGAGCTACAATTCATTTCACCCCGTTCGATTGGAATTTTACGAGTGGACGGAGCCTCGATTCAATTTGGTTCAGTCAGACGGCCAAAGTGGCCCGAGAGTCAACATTTGCATAAGTGGCTGGCTGGCTGGACGGGCCCATATTTTTTTGATGGACGAGAAGGGATTTATTTGCCTACTTACGAGCCGGCGGGTGGGCGAAATGATATTCGGCTGCTGGCCGGGAAAAATGAGGGAAAATCCAATCTGTCGAGCGGATGGCTTTACGGTCGCCCGAGTGAGTGAGGACATCAGGTAGAGAGAGGGATGAGGAAAGAGGGTGGAAGGGGACGCGGCGAAATTGCAGACAAAAATGCCTTTCCGGCCGTGTGTCTCTTGGCGTGGGACGAGGGCGGATTTCCCTTCTCGCTTACCTGCAACAGAATAAAAAGAGGCGAAATTAGAGAGAGGCACGTCGTCGGCGGTGAAGAAGCAGTAAAATGCAAATCCCATGCGAGAGAGAAAAAGACGCTTTGGACCCGACCGCGGTAAACGAAGAGGCTTCTACATTTTCCAGCAGTTTGCTGCTTTAGTGCGACTTTCAACGTGGAACGAAGAACAGCGTTGATGCTACTTTGGATTTTATGCACAAGTTCCGCTTTTTCCTTAGCGATCGCACTTTTTTTTAATACCGTTTGAGATCTTCAAAATAAGGAATAAAGGTCAAAATTTGGATTCAAGACTAAATTTGATAAAACTTGAATTTATTTTAGATTCTTGATCTGTTAATTAATTAGGTAACTGAAGAAATTAATTGTTATTTCTGTTACTCTGTGGAGTTCTTTCCGAATTGCAAAATAAAAGAAAAATATAATTTCTGTCAATTTAAAATTGTGCTTTAGATCTAATAATGAAGCGATTATTGAATATGAGAAATTCGGCAAATTTTTAGTCATACAAGTTTCAAAGTGGAAAAGATGAAGAATAAATTAATTATTAATTTATTTAGCCAATAATAACTGTATATTTTTGGAAAATAGATGTGCATTAATTTTAACAGAAATAAAAATTGATGGTAAGTTACAGTTAAAAATAAAATTAAAATCAGATTTTTTTTCTACATTAACAAGTAATTTTTTTATGAAACTTTTGCGTAATACGTGTAATATTTGAAATCTGATTCGCGCTCAATTCAATTGAAAATAACTCTGATGTCGGGCTATCATGGCAGGATTGGTTTCTCATTTCAAAGGCTAGTGATGATGAGCAGTAATTAAATCCCATTGTAAATTCGCTCTCGCAGCTGGCAAAGTTGGAATTGCCTTTTGAAACTATAGTTGCACATCATCAGCTTTGTCTGCGGAAATAAATTCCTCCTCATTAAATCATTTGAGAGAACGACGATCAGCAAAGTTCGAATTTCATTTGAGAGGATCAGAGCGAGGTATAAATGAATAATTTTCATACTCAAAAAGAAAGCAGAGCGTGAACATCCGAAAGCAACAGTCTCGAAGCAGGCAGTCATAATTTGTATCTCATTAAGCCAACTTTTCAGTTGGCACGACGAGCAAACAAACAAGCGTCCTAATTAGCGTCTCACAGCAGCAGCAGCAACAGCCGGCGTTTAATTGAAAGGCTCAACTCTTGCTCGACATGATCTCTCAGCTCCGCCTTCTTCTCCAACTTGCTGCAAACTTTTCTCTTCTTTTTTCATTCTCGAGGGAAGAAAGAGCGAGAGTGGCCGCTCGTAAATATTAATTCGCGTGTGGAAAGAGCGGTGCGTGCGGCCCTATCGCAAATTGATTCGCGTTTCAAATGTCACTCATACGAGAGACCTATCGCCGCCGACATCTTTACAAGCCGGGCAATTAGCGATGCATTAGCTCTTAACGACTGATTATCTGCCCGCACGAAAAGCTCCGCAGCACCAAACTGCTCTCGCAGTTACGGAAATTGAAATCGACTTTAATGCTGTGTTTGGATTTTAAATGTGGTCGTGAAAAATTATTAATTACCTGCCCACTTTTTCCCATTTGCAGCATGGAAGCTTTAAATACAATTTTTATTCAATTAAGAATCAAATCAAGAATTTTTTATTAGAATATTTTCTTTTACATATATAGTTTGTTTCAAAACACTATTAATTTTTTTTATATAATTGTGAAATATTACATTATTATTTTTTTTTTGTTATATTTTAAACCGTTTTGAACTAGTATTTACAATTCATGATATGTAATACACAAGAGCAGCATTTTTGAATAAAATAATTTTAATAGTTTTCATACTTTCATGGTTGAATATTGAATCCTTTTCATTTAAACTCTATTACTGTGAAGTAATTATCCAAAACCACATTAAAATGTCTCCTCATTTTTCTGTAGAAATTGTAACACAATGTTTTTGTTTATAATTTTTTACTGTTGCAATTGCCAACTACTTTCATCATTTTCATAATAATCAGTAGCCTAACTACATTTTGATGAAGCGCCGTGCAAAAACGTGGAAAACAACAACATATTATGCTTTTTGCCGAGCACGGCAGTGGCGCGTGTTGCATACACCCAGACGCAAAAAGGCGCACCAGCGGTTGCTGCCGGTGGTGCAGCTGCTTGTTTTTTCCCATCCTTTCGGAAACACACACAGAATGAGGCACGTGGCTCAGTGGAGCAAAAGTTGCGCCTCCGATAATTGGATCGGACGTTTTATTGGGCGCGTTCGAGCATTCACTCGGCGCAAATTAGCCTGCTCCATTTTTGACGGACGCGCTTTTCAAATTTCTGCCTCAACGGCAAAGTGATTTTGGCAGCTGAGATGAAGAAGAAATTAAAGCTGCGTGTCTCCACTCGGCCGTGAAATTTTGTCAAAACACCCGACAGGTAGATGAAAATAACTGGGTTATAAATGGGGAAAAATGATTTTAGTAAAGAGAAAAAATAGACTCGTTTCCCAAAAAAGGTTAACAAAAGAAAAATATCAGCGGAAATAAAGTTCATTTCAAGCAATATAATTATTTATGAGACATTTTTCTATTGATTATGAATAAGAAAAAGAAAACACATTCCTAAAAAAATCGCAAATTTTTCCCTAAATAATTTTCATAAAAAATTTTGATCTTCAAAATATATTTACTGTTGATTTTTTTATTTTGCTGTTATTACTGGAAATCATCACTTTTGAGCCTAAATTTCCATGGGGCAAAAAGGCACCTGGGTCTATTATGATGAAAAAATCCCATTTACCAAGCGTATGGTGTTGAAATAAAAAAAGGCAGTGTCATTTATTTTTGTTTGTTTGTCCGGAAAGTAATGAGGCCGAGCTGCAAACACGAATTTAATAGCGGCGGTAATGGCGAAAAAGAGCTTTTCCAGTGTTGCTACTTATAAATTGGATATTACAAAAGTGGCCGTAAAGAACGTGCAGACAGCGGTTGGTGTTGTTTCGAGTTTTATGCTGCGACAACGTGCTGATTTTGCCGGCCAGCTGATTTATAGGGTCCGGCCGTTGAATTTACGATCTAATACTCACACCAGAGAGAACGAAAAAGAGCTCTGCCTGCGAATCTATCCGAATGGTAAACAAGGCTTTATGTCCGTCCGTGATGGCGGCGGCGCCCGCCGGGTGATACTTTATCACCCTTTCAATTATGATTGTGACTTTATGAGATCGTAAAGAGTCGAATTTAAATCTTGCGCGCCACCGTAAGGCCGTCTAATATTTTATTAAACGTGCAGTTCGGCCAAACTCTCTCCATTTTAGTGCCGAGAACAACAACAATGGCTGGACGCGCCAACAATCGAGCACCTTTATGAATTTGCCTTTTGATATGCAGCCGTTAAAACACGTGGAACAATTGTGTGCGCATCGTTATGTTGGCACTTGCGCGAAATGTGTTTGCGAAATGAGAGCTATAAAGTTGGAATCATATTTTGAAGTATAGACATTAAAATTCATATTGAAAAATTACCATTTTTTTGCCTGAAACAAATTAAATTTAATTTAAACGGATCTAAAAATATTTCGCAAATTAGAGAGAGGTGAAGTTTCAACTAGAAAACTTGTTTGAATTTTTAACGCACATTTCTTCATAAAATATTTGATTGCCTTATTTATTATCAACCAGCCACTTGACCTCTGGATTTTCTCAATGCAGATTTACTCAATTAATTTAAAAAAAGCATGTTGGCTTTTTTCCCTTACATTAAAGTGGTATTAAAATCAATGCCCTTTTTAATAAATACAAAAAAGCAATAACACAAAAGAGCCGCGAATTTCCTTTTCATTGTTGTCCAGTTATGAGTTACGATTATCGTGGCACATAATATAAATTTAACTCGAAAAAGTTTGGCCAAAACTTTGCACTCGCACACTTTACGTAAAAAGGCAGTCATGGAAATGGCGGGTGGTTTGCATCGGCGAAAGCGGAAACGACTCAGACTGCTGGATGCGGAACAAAAACCGTCCATTTACGCCGGAGAGAACAATGGCTGCGCGCAATTTTTCATCCGCTGCTCATAAACATTCCTTTTTGCCCCGCGAACAAGCCAAGTCCATCGCAGCAGAAAATGCTCCGATAGTGAAAAGCAATCGACGCGGAAACTATCATGCTTGTGATCCGCCACGCTCCACGACTCTCGTGCACCAGCCGCTTTGCATTACGAAATACTTCTCTTTTTCATAAATAAAATGCATAAAAAAACTCGCTTAGTATGTAGCTGCTCGCATTTGGGTCAAGTTACATTGTGAAAATCTATCCGTCATAGTTTAAAAGCGTGATAATGCGCTGAAAGGAGAGGATAAAATATGATAAAAGCATCTTAAAAACGAAGTTTCCGTTTCGCAAAGCTTGGATACTTAAAAAAAAAAAAAAAAACTCATGAAAAGAAAAATTATCAAATATCAGATGAAAACAAATTAAATGATAAAAAATGCCTTTTGATTTAATTTTACTTCCAATTAGTCTGTTAATTAAAATACTAGAGTGAACTTTTCATTGTTCACACATTTCTGGATTATATTTTATATACTATAATGCTAATTGTGAGCCACTTAACTTCGAAGAGAGAGAAGTAATGGTTGCACATGTCATGCATATGCATATCTAATGTATTTACTAAAAAAATATGTTTTTAAAGAACCTGGGCTTATCATAAAGATTATTTCACTTGCAAAATACTTTTTAGTTTCAAAAAAGAAATTGTAGTATAATATAATTATATAATTTAAATAATAAATTAAAATTATATTTTATTGCAATAAGTATTAAAAAATTACACATGATGAAAAAAAGTTAAAAATTCGTCGAATTTAAAAAAAAATTGTTTATGTAATAATAACTGTGATAGTATAACAAATAATTATTGTTGAACATATGAAAATTATTTGATTTGCTTGTTGCTTAAAACTCAAACTCTTACGAAGCAGAGAAAAAATCTGCAAGAGGAATGGGATACAATATTACGACGCCTTTATAATCTTTTTCGGTTCCTAGACACGCAACTAACTTTATTTTGGATTTCCTGGCCTTTTTTGTTATTTTGGATTTCACGTTCTACAGATATTTGCACAATTTTTGGTTCACTGTCATGTAATTTGAATATTTTCATGTTAATAATATTTTTACAAATTTCATTGAAAACTTTAAGCACAGTAAAACAATTTAAGCGTAATTGCCTTGTCTTTTTTTGAAAATGAGTGCACATATAAAGTTTGAAAGAACTTAAAAACAACCTCCATTCAACCACATTAAACATATTTTTTAATAGAATTTGAA